CGCCACAACGTTGCTGGGATCGAAGCACGCAGGCGATGGTATCGAGGAGGAATGTCACTGCCGTGTTGAACCGTGTTGAAGCAAAATGTTCTCGCCTTCTATGGATACCTGCCCCAGCAGCTTGCGCACCAAGTGGCCGTTGTCCAATCCCTACCTGTGAAGGTCTTTCTCAACGGAGTCGCAACAGCAGGCTTGGGAGGAGATCTCCCTTGCCAGGAACCAGACGGTCCACCAGGTCCTGAACGCTCAACTGAGCCACCATGCCTAAGGCGCGAAGGAGGGAGTAGAGCAGGTAGCAAACGACTGGGGTGGCCCAACTGTTCCCTATAGCAAGCTCAACCGACAATCGTTGCGCTGCACTGTTCCTTCCATGCTGTTGGCCACGCAACGCCGAGTGTAACCTAAGGGGAAACCCACGATAATTCACGCTCCGACACGGAGGGCGCGCGAAGTGCCTGACGATGATTGCCAACACAGTTTTCCGCGCGGTGCTGATAAGGAGGGAACGGATGGGAGTCTGACTTCCAACGATCGACTGCATCTGGAGGGCAAAGTTCCAAGCCAGGGCGCCGCCCCGGGAGTGTGGGAAAACGGGCGTCAAGCGTGCACTTCTTCCAACCCGGCTCCAGGTAGTCATTCTCATCCAAGGTGCCGCCACAGAGCTCGACACGGCCTGGGAGACGATGACTGCCTCCCTTCAACACTCGCGTCCCGTCTAGTTCCAGCGGATCCCACTGACCCAGTACAGCCATGGGCGTCGCGCTGAGCTAACTCCACCGGCATCAATTTCCCAAGGGTTCCAAGGGTCAGTTCCGAAAGCCTTTCTGCAACAAACCACTATCTACCAATACCTCCTGAAGTCTCTCAAGGATGTTCTTCTTGACCTTATTGCAACGCAGCTTTTCTGGCGATGTGACACCGTCACAGTACGGCGCGTGGGGTCCCGCCCAGCCTTTGCTTGGAGTGGAGTGGAAAAATTCCCGTGGACTGACTGCAAGGCAGAACGCAGCTGAAGACCTTTTGAATGAGTGCAAAACAGAGGGATTGAGGACACTGATCTGGGCAACTGTACTCAACTCTTGCCAGAGTACTAACCCCTTTCAGCTGTTGGGTTGCGTACATAGCAATCAGGGGGCTCAACTGTTCCTTCGACGCTGATTGGAGTTCTCCTCGAGACGAAAGCAAGTGCTCCCGCGTTGTCTCTATGGCCTGAGCAGTGAGCGCCCCCGGGCAGCGTTCGCTCAACCTCCTCAGTCTGCGCGCCTCGTCAAACAACGGCCCTTCATCTTCCGAGTTCGTCTCATTGTAGTCCATGAGGAGGACGAACCGTCAGAACCTGAGCTGCTGGAACGCTCGCGTCTCTTCTCCATCTTCTTTCCCACCTTTCAAGCTTGGTTGATCAAGCGCTTGCGCCTGGGCACGTTGGGGTCCAGGCACATATTGGAAAAGAGAGCCCTTGCACTCTTCTGCCCTCGCTCCAACTCTTCTGAAGCCTCTAGTTTACTCTTTCTCAACCGCGCGCTCCTTTTTCCTTTTCTTGCCCTTCTTCTTGGATTCTCTCTCAACCAGCTCTTTGTCGGCCTTTTTGTCAGACTCTTTCGGAGGCACTACACCTCCCCTGCCTTTGCCAACTCGTCCACCTCCTCTACCGGCGTCTTCGTGACTTGCACCAAATTGGAATGCCTAGGTCCCACATAGTTGAAAATACATTGTCCCCTCAGCGGCATTGAGGGAGGTCACCCGTCCAGTCACCTGTACCTCACCACCATAGTACCCAGCATCTTGCAGTTCAATGACCTTTGATTAATGACTTCACATCTCCAATCCCCAAGTCTTTCCACTCTTTGTAACTTGTATCAACGTCTGCTGTCTCTGCGCGCGCTGGCCTGCGACGAACACTCCTCACCTTGGCCAGAGCGGCCGCTGGGCGCCGAATTCGAGGCGGCATCCCTTCTTTACCAACGTCCTCTGCAACCTCTACGGTCGTGATACTCCTGTTTCACTCTTTTTGTGATGCCTTTGTTGGCCACTTCTGATCCCCAGCGGGGATGTGAGGATCTTGGGATCCTTCCACGCCAGCCTTTTCCTTGTTCCACACGCGGTTTCGGCGCTGGCGGAGGTTCAGGTGGGGTATGAGGCGACCTCGCCTTCTGACTTGGCTTGGGTCTGAGATTCCCAACACGCTCAGCTTTGTCTCGCTTTGGCGTCTCGTCAACCTCTGCTTCTGCCTTGCCGGAATGGGAGATAGCCGTCTCCCTTTTCAACCTTCGAACCTCGGAGCCACTCACTGTCGAAGATCGGGACCTCTTGCGCCTCTTTCTTTTCTTCTCCTTATCCTGACGTCTCTTCTCTGAGCGGGACCTCCTTTTCAACTCTCTGCTCTCCTCTCGTCTGTTGGGGACTGTCTTCTTCTCTTCCGTCTCAGTCGGCCTGGACTTCTTCTCCTTCCCTCGCCTCTGAAGATCCTCTTGTGGCCTCCTTCTCTGTCTCGACCTCCTCAAGCTTGGGAGTTCCTTCTCCCTTTCCACGCCTGGGAGCCTGGGAGCTGATGACACTCCCTTACTGGCTGCAACTCTGACAGCAAGGATCTGCTGGAACGCGGAGTCCAAGGCCAGGATGACGGTGCCCTCGCTCTCCAACGGCAAGGCCTTTTTGGTGGCCGCGCTCCACAACCGGTTCGCTGACTGGCAAGCCGAGCAAAGCTTGCTTCTCAACGGCCAATGCTTGCAGACCTTGCAAACACTGGGAGACTGATCTCCCATAAGCCGTCTTGAGCCCGATGCTACGAGGAAAACGACTGAATTCGTTTTTATATAGACATGTGGACATAAATCCATGTATTCACTTGCAAGCATTGCTCATTGTTTTATATCTGTTGGACCCCTGAAAAATGTACAATTTCGAGGAGGTCGAAAAATATATCCAACGATGCTTGCAAATTGCGAGTAAGACATAACTGAACAAAACAAACAATGTATCAACGGGTGCAAAAATAGATACTTCTTTCACCCTCTTTCTGAGAGCCACTGGTGCGGGCGGCTGTCGTCACGAAGCGACCTGAATAACTGGTCAGTTGCATCATTGCACTGATTTGTTTGGTCAAAACTTCTGAACGAACCTGCTTGGTCAAAAAGAAAGTCTGGATGGGCGGAGGAATACGGAGAAGTTCAAGCCGCCCCCTTGGCCTCTTCCTTAACCGCAGTGTGCTCCGGACCTGCCTGAAACGCACAGCAAACATGCTTCACTTCTAGAGGTCCGACTTCCATTCGATTGCAACTGGTATTTCAAACTCCGCCATCTAACGCCATATCCAACATCCAACTCCCGCCGTGCAACGCCTCAAGGTCGTCACCCTTCAGCCGTGCCTCGAAACGAGTCGAGGGAAGTCGGAGGAAGTCGGACAAGTTGTGCTCGTCATCTTTTCACTCTTTCTTTCTTTTCATTTCCATTTACAAACAAACAGAAACAGAACAAAGAGTAAACCTCACCAAACTCCAAGTGGCCACCACTTTCTCAAACTCCTCCTGTGGCAGCATGTGTGCCAGCTTCTTGCGTGCACGCTGGCAAACACGCCTGTCATGAATGTGACGGTCCTCGTGAAATGCTTAAACAAATAACCTGAAGAAAGCCCCTCTTTTCTTCGGCACTACAAAGGATCCGACAGAAAAATACGGATTTTGGATGTAAATGCTTTGCTGCGGAAACGACGCATATCCACCACCTGAACCTCAAGTTCGTGAAAACCCTACTTCAACCATACAGTCGGTATCATATTGTTATATATTGTTTCTAAAAAGAAAAAAAGCGTATCAAAAAACTTTCAATTGCAACATTCCAATGCTCAGTCGCTCCACCTTCTGATGCGCTTAGCGCCTCTTCAGAGCTTTGCAAGGAGCCGCCGCCTTCGCCTCCAGCGTCGACGCCACAAGCTCCTCAAACCGGCTTTGCTGCAAAAAGGGCCTGTGTGGGCCATACAAACGACAAAAGCACCCGGAAAAAGCAGCGGCCGGCTTGAGGCCCTCGGTTTCCACCTAGAGGGCCAATCTTTAGAATTCCGACTTCAGTGCACCTGATCGTGGTCGTTCTGCTGAGGCACCAAACCAACCAAAATTTTGGAAAGAGCCCTTTCCACCATTGATGCAATATAATGAATTATAATGACATATAATGTAGTATGTCACAAGAAATGTGTGAAATCCAATTGAAGTTACCTTCCTGTCGACTCTACTACTAGTACTTAAGCGACCAGAAAACCTGAAGAGAGTCTTTGGCCAAGGGAAAACGCAACAAAACATTAGAATCCACCATCGTGACTGTAGCTGAACTTCCATTTTGATGACAAAATTAGATTACACCAGTTTCTGCGTGCTCTTTGCCGCACTTTGCCTCAGAATCCGCAGCCCCGTCCTCAACCTTTCGTTGCACGCGATTCTTGCCGGCCATCATCTTGGATTTTAGAACACGCAAGGAGAAAGCGAAGCATAGCGAAGCGAGCATCTGAGGTTCGAATCTGTGGGATGCATTCGTCTGCGTCCTCTTAGTGCTCACGGCAGTGCTGAACTCAGGCCCACACTCCAGTCGGTGGTAAGCGGGAGGTAGGACTAAGCACAAGAACAAAGCACCACCAGATGTTTCAACGTAAAGAAGTGTGGACAGTCAATGGAACGTGTCAGCAAAATGCTCTCATGGACCGGTTAGGGCCATGCCAATTGCAGGCAAGTCTTTTGTGGTGCTCTGTTCAACGCTTGGAACAAATGGCTGCAATTCACAGGTGTGCTCACCATCCCCATCGCCCTTTTGAAATCACGTTTCTGTTCACGTTCGACATTTGTGACGACACGTAATGACTGCCTTTAAACCTTAATCCAAGCAAACCACACACCATACGTTGATTTGGTCATACTGAAACCAAAAGCACGATCCAGTCCACCGCAGCACCGCCTTCGCGATAAGCCGATTGGAGCCTCTCTTTTCTTCTCGTCTGAACCCGTCTGGGCCCGTCAGGTCTTCAGGTCCAGCTCGTCCACCCTCGGAGTTGGCATTGACTGCACTCCTTCACCGTCTTGCACTAGGATGTTGAAAGGGTATAGATGGAGAACGGAGATGGTATGGTTGAACTGCGGTTGAATGGTTCACAAATGGCTGATGAGATCTCTCAGACTGAGCCTTCAAACCCTTCCATGTACACGTCCACCTTGTTCGACCACATCTACAGAGAAGCTAAGGTCCAGAAGCTCAACCGTTGACCGGTGACCACATGCAACTTCTTTATGATTGGTTACCCGGATTTGACGTTTACCTCTCGCATCCTCCGTTTATCGCACGTGAAGAATGTCCGATCCGTTTGTGGCTGCGAGCGCCGAATCCCCCAAACCGGTGCTGCTGCCGCTTCACCATTCACCGACCCCATCTTCCGCGGCGTTCATTCAGCCGAGAAGACGATTCCAACAGCTGTGTGGCCACATCGAAGCGGTCCGCCTGCATAAGCTTAAGTGTGACATCCGGAAACAACATGTTCCATCTTGGGCAGTGGACCCAATCCGAAATTCCGACTTTGAACAGTCCCGAAAGTTCCAATTCGAAAGTTCTACACAGCTCTTTCCTTAGTTTTCTGCATTTTTGTGTGCACGTCTTTTGCATTTCTGGTTGCATAACTTTGTGTATTTGTTTCACGTTCAATCGCACATCGACATGGGCCAGCTCGACGAAACAGGTACAATTCATAACTATGTCGAGTCGGCATCGTTTGGCCCTCTCTGCGTCGACCATCGAAGTTTCTGTCGCCTTTTCACAGGCATCCACTGCAAATGAATAACTCACAATGGTGGGGAGCAGCAGCTCATCTGACATGTCCCTGGCACCGCGAACGGCGAAGCAAATGCCTAGCAAACAGCAGTGCAACATACTGTAGTGCAATGACAGGTAAACCGATGTCAACCGGAAACCAATTAGATTTGGATGTGCGAGAGGAGCTGCATGGTGCTCTTGGTAGCATTGTATAGCATTGTGTTAATATACATTTAAGCAGCTTGGCTTGCAACATCCAGGGGGACCTGAGTTTTGGATAGCATGATATTCCCGCTTCAATCAACTCTCCTGGGGAGTCCAACATGATTTCTTGAGACCATCTCGGGTGAAGGACAGTTGGGTGTGCCCACTGTGAAGCCACGGTTATGCGCCCAGATGGTCAATCCTGACCAAATTTGATTCTATGTCTCATCGGAGCGCAACCAACCTGTTGGAAAACGACCGACCCCGGCAGTCCCTCCCCTTCAAGCCTTATCAAGGACTGCGCTAGCTCCCAGCGCTTCCCCCGACCTTGGACCGAACCTAGGGACCTAGCACAGTCATTTGCTTGGGCGAGCCAGTTTGGGAAAGGGTAGGATGCCGCACAGCGCATCAAAACTTATTGAATTCAAAACATGTGGAGGCCATCGCTCTTAGGATGGAGGCCATCGCTATTAGAACAAAGAGAATGGAAAAGAAAGAAAGGATAGACAGGCCTAAAAATGTAGTTTGCTACTAGGTTGGAGGCCATCACTACTAGGTTGAAGGCCATTGCTACTAGGTTGGAGGCCATCGCTATTAGAAACAAAAAGAAAAGACAGAAAGGGTAGAAAGGTCTATAAAATAGTTTGCTACTAGGTTGGAGGGCCATCGCTACTAGGTTGGAGGCCATTGCTGCTAGGTTGGAGGCCA